AACAAATATTGTACAAAGGTTGTCGTGTGAGGTGTCTATGAAAAGGTTATAATTTGCTGGTTATGATTATGCTATCTGTATGTGTGTACCATTTTTGTAATTGAAGTTATAAATATTGACTATGTACTTGTATCTCAATGTGTTTGATTCTAAGTAGCATTAGTGAAGCATTTGGTCAGCTTCTTGAGAAAGGAATTTGCAGATTAAGTGCCCAATCAAGAACCACTTAACTGACAATGGACCTTGGGAGACTTCAATCCACATATGAGAAGTCTTCCTGGGACATTCAAGGTAGCATGTGAGCAATGGCTGCCGCCTGCAAACTGAGTCATGCATGGACATGTGACTTGCCCAGGTGGCTACAAACTCCATCTTGTTGCTGTGATTTTGCACAGGAGAACAATGGGGTTTCCACCCAAAAGAGAACGAATATAAAAGGCCCTGGAAACCCCTCCATTTTGTCTTCAGTACTGCTTCTTACCTCTGGAGGGACTTTGCTACACTGAAGCTCTGAACAAAGGACTGAATGACCCATCCAAGCTGTGGATGTACTCCAGAGACTTGATTTGAACCTGCAGTTTATTCCATCATTGCTACAACCCTGAATCAAGAACTTTGCCATTGCTGTATATAATTGATTCCATTTAACCAGTTTTAACTCTCACCTATATTTCTTTCTTTTTATGAATAAACCTTTAGGTTTTAGATTCTAAAGGATTGGCAGCAGCATAATTTGTGGGTAAGATCTAACTTGTATATAGACCTGGATCTGGGGCTTGGTCCTTTGGGATCGGGAGAACCTTTTTTCTTATATTGGGGTATTGGTTTTCATAACCATTTGTTCCCATAAGAAGTGGCTGCTGGTGATGATACTGGGAAACTGGAATGTCTGAGGGAATTGCTAGTATGACTGATGGTTAGCCAGTGGGATAAAACTGGGGTCCTCTGTGTTTGGCTGGTTTGGTGTGCCTTGGGCTGTAACTGCCCTGCTCTAAGCAATTTGTCCTGAATTGATACTCTCAGTTGTGTCCCGCCAGAGGCAGCATTGTTCCAGGCCCTACCAAATTCACAGTCCATTTTGGTCAATTTCACGGTCATAAGATTTAAAAAAATTTTAAATTTCATGATTTCAGTTATTTAAATCTGAAATTTCACGGTGTTGTAATTGTAGGGATCCTAACGCAAAAAGAACATGTGGGGGGGGGTCGCAAGGTTATTGGAAGGGAGGTTGCAGTATTGCTTCCCTTACTTTGGCACTGCCGCTGGCGGTGGTGCTGCCTTCAGAGCTGG